AGCCTACTGCCTGTCAGGTGTGTGGACTCTCCATGGTCCAGTGGGGACCCTCGGTGGAGCCGATTCGTGACGAGGGCGTCACGTGATTGGGTGGAGGAGAATGTCACGGACAAATAGTCTCACATTGGCTAGGTGTAGGGCCGAAAAGCAGTATTTAAGTCCTGGGCTGCCCACCACCCATAAGGGCTCTTTTGGGAGGTGACATTGTGGTGCTTTGAAGATAAGAGGTTAATGTGCAAAATAGGTTAGTCGTGCAAATTTTTTTGCATAAATATATCAGGCAGATTCATTTTTTTAATATTGAAATGAGCTTTAATGGTAATTAGGTTAAGAATTAATGATTGGTGATTAAGGGCCCGTTTGGGGTAATTTATTTGGTGCGGTGGCGTTTTGAAAATGCACCTAACCTATTTGGGTAAACTGTGTTTTGGCAGCTTATGTGTTTTTAAAACGCAGAAAACAACGTTTTCACACCGCACCTTATTGACAACGGTTTGATTTTTTCAAAAAAGTAAAAATTTGTAATAGTTTCCGCACCTAGCTTATCAGCAGATTATTCAATAAGTTACAACTGTCTCAAACAGACCCTAAGATATAGTTGGAACTGCAACTTGGGTTTTTTAGTTAAGGAGAAAATCATCTACCAACTCTTCCACTAGTCTTATAACTTTTATTTTAGAAATTTAAGTCTAAATGAAAATATGCACGGTTCGAATCCCCGACTTAATGTGGGAAACTATATCCTCATCCAGTAAGTCACAGATAAGTGCGATATAGATTCAAGTGATGTTTTTTTCTTAACTGGTAAAAATAAATTCAATGATAAAAAATTCTATATTTACTTGTCTTGATTGTATTTCAATTATGTACAATTGTATACCTAAAATTAAGTTTTTAAGCAACAAGAAAGTCTGAATGTTAAATAAGCATTATGAGCTTAAAAGATCGAGTCTATCAATTATGCATTTGGTGGTCTTGCACTAACCATAATAATTGTACTCATTAGTGTACATTATCCTAGCTCCTGTTTCATACTCATACAGTTGGTTGAACATTCTCATCAAACTCGCTAACGATAGGCTAGCTACAACATTAAACTCGACAAGCAGCTATCTGAGGCAGCGAAGAGAATTTATATATGTCAGTATACTTTCCCATCATTTTCTAATAGCATGACAATTCACATCAGCAATTTTGTTAATAACAAGTGTCTTCAGGCTCCATACATATAGCCTATAACCTAATTTTAAGTTTATTTTCTAAACCCTTGTGCATATTAGGGCTGTCAAAAAAAGCTCGTTGTTGGCGAACAACTTGTGTTCGACTTGTTCATTAAATAAACGAGTCGAACACGAACAAGTTTTAAATCTCGAATTATAAACGAATCGAACACGAACAACTCTTTGTTCGCTCGTTTTCATCTCGTTTTAGCTCGAAATAAAAAAATTATATAATTATTTATATAAAAATATATTACACATATTATTTATATAATAATATT